TTCCAGCATCAGGGCAATGATGCCTTTACGTGAGATTACAATTAGATTAAAGATTAATACGAATAAATGATTAGATTAATGCAGTTAAATGTAATCATTCGTGAATATTCATGGCCAACCGGCAGCCAATGGGGCGGCAGCAGAAGTTCCTGAATGACTTTCAGTGCATCCACTCGACCCATAGACTGACCAATCAGAGGTGACCTGGTTAAATGACGTCATAATAAATAATTATCATCATTATAGAAGTAGCTATAATAAAAATAACAACAACAATAATAGAAACAATAACAATAATGATAAACTAGAGAACAACGACGACAACAACAACAACAGCAGTACAACAACTGCCCACAATGTTCTTCCCACTGCCGCTGCTGTAGGCGACGGCCAGCATGGACGCACACTGCTCCGAGTAATCTGGCATCTCTCCCTCTTCGTCCACCGCGCCTATCGTGATCGTAAACACAGAGTTGGCATAGCCGTCGTAGTTGCAGTTATCGCCATTCCGACCGCCATTACCACTGGCGACCACGTAGATGGAACCGTAGCCACCTCTGCCGTAGTCGGTTCCGAGACGCATGGCTTCGAATGCCAGCTTGTGCGGCCCGTCTAACGTCTTGCCGTCATCTTCTGGACCCCAGCTAGTTTCAAGCGAAGTGAAAGAAAGAATCGGGAATGATGAATAGTGAAAGAATGGAAGCAATTGTTTGATACGAATGAAAGAAGAGATGGATGAATTTGAAATGAATAAGCGAATCAACCAATCAACCAACCAACCAACCAACCAACCAACCAACCAACCAACCAACCAACCAACCAGCCAACCAACCTGCAACTATAGACGTCATTAACATCAAGTTTGCCAATGAAAGCCCTGGCTTCAGCCTCGTCCGTCATGGGTCCGTCAATCAATCTGATGCCTGAGATCTTTGCATTGAAAGCCAAGCCAACGCCGCAGAAGGAATTGTTTGCTGTAGCTGCTATCTCCCCGGCACACCTGGACACATCCATCGAAAGTTTATCTCAATAAAACATTCTTTTATCCATTCTTCCATCCATCCACTAATCAAATAATCGAACAATCACCTGGTTCCATGGTGGTTGGTATCTTTACTTTTACTGGGAGTTGGGTCATTATCATTTGATACAACATCATAACTTCCTAATGGCTCGTAGTTGTTCCTTATGTCAGTGCTGTTCCAGTCCAAACCTGCTTTCGGTTTTTCATTTTTGCTTTTTATGTGGGAAGGTTAATCAAGCATCTAACATACATGCATCTATTTTTAATCATTTATAAATATACCTCCTCACTTCATTCAACATTTATCCAGATCCTACATCATCCAAACCAACCAACCAACCAATCAACCAGCCAACCAACCAACCAACCAGCCAACCAACCAACCAACCAACCAGCCAGCCAACCAGCCAACCAACCAACCAACCAGCCAGCCAACCAACCGTCATCGATGACAGCAATAGTAATGCCCCTGCCAGTGATGTTATGAGACCAGACCTTCACAACATTCATATCTCTTCCAGGATTTACGCGGTTCAGCTGGAACGAAATGAAAAATTTTCATTGCCATAATTTCACAATTATAATTTTAAAATTATCATTCATAATTATCAAAAATTTTTATAATGATTAAACAACAAAATGGTCATTACTCATGAATAGAGCATATTTAAAAAATGCAAATCATAGTAAGCAGAAGAAATAATAATTACAAATATTATCAACAAATATCAATAATAAAAATAAGTAAAGATAAACTAACCAGATGCCACTGCTTATCAAAATATGGATCGTTGAAATGAAGCACCAAATGATTATTATTTTTCACGCTGGAGTTGATCACATTATTAAGCGATCTTCTATTTAGTCTCTTTTTTGAAGCACCTCTATTACCTTTTGAACCGTCAAAACTATTATTTATAACTCTATTATTATTATTATAATTGTGAGTAAAAAAAATACTGTTAGCAAGAATATCACTGATATTTTGACTTTTATTTACATTACCAACATTATTTTCATTCATTTCATAGCTAATTCTATCACCTAAGTTTGAATTAGTATAAACATTACTTTCTGACAAACTATTTCCACTATTACCAATTAGAGTACTGTGATAAGTGTTTATGGTAGTAATCCTATTAGTGTTAATAATACTGTTGAGAAGTGTCGTGTTATGAATTGTTGTTGCTGCTGCTGCTGCTGTGTTGTTGTGTTGTTGTCGATGTGATGAGTCATTTCGTGACGAGAGGTTGACGTCGGTGAGGTAGTCGAAATGGATTATGTTGTCAGTGTTGTTGCTTATATTTGTATCTATGCTGCTGTCGTTGTTGCTGCCTATGTTACTCTCCACATTTTTTACACTGTCATTTGTAACACTGTTTAGATTTCCTAAAATGATGTTGCTATTTATGTTGGCTCGTTTGGATCTTCTAACCCCAAACTGTTGGTCAAAGTTTAGGACTAAGGGATGTGCTGATAATTTTTCAATTGTGTCGTCTTTTATTTTCTTCCATTCTTTCACAGAGTTTATATCCTTGTACCATGTTATCTTTTCCTGATATGGATTATTGAAAAAATGTTGAAATAAAAAACTTTTAGCAATAATTATTCCTTACAATCCGTGCTTTATAATTTACTTCCTGTCTGCCCATAAAATAATTTCATAAAAAATTACAAGCAAAAACCAAATTCATTCATCTCTAGCATAATTACAAATATTAAATTTAAAAATTGAGGCTGATGTTTCAAAATGTGCACTACAAACCCTGCTGTCATACTGATGACCATGAAGATGATGATGTGAATATCCAGGCCAGTACTTTCTAGTCTTGTAGTTTGGATGAGCAAACAAAAACTTATTCCCAACTTTTTTATTCACCAGCCCTAAATTTATAAGACTGACATCGCTTGCTACCTTATCTGCCAACAAATTAACTGTAGAAACAACAACATCCTCATCATCATCATCATCCTCATCAACATGATAACTGCCTAATTTGAAGGGAGATAAAGAGAGGTCAATCTGAACCAACCAAGTTAATGTTTCAAGCTGTTTTACGTTGCTAAAAGTTTCGGCCGATTTATGAACAATTGTCGTCTGCCTTTTACTACTGATGTAATCTTGTAAAGAACCAAAATCGAATGAATTATTATCGTATTTGTATGATAAGTATAAAAACAACGACAGCGTTAACAACGAGCGGGTTAGGATTTTTTTCGCTATTACAGACATGAAAATAAATTCCGATGTTGAACGAAGCTATAATAAAAATGATGTTGCGGCGGTTAAAAATCAGAAACTTTTTCTACTTAAATCTCTGAGAAAAGTTACGAAAATATTTCAATTAAAAAACAAAGAAAATATTAACAAAGGTAAACTTTCATATCAAGAAAGGTGTAACATTTTAAAAAAGGTAATTGATTAATATCAATAAATATAACTATATTAAAATTAACATTTAGATATACAATCACAATTTTTAGTAACTTAAAATAACTTTTATTAAAGTTTTGTTTGACATCACAATTTTTCTATCTTAAATAGCAAAAATTCTAGTTATGTGCTCAATACTAAACTTTTAGTAACAATGTAAGTATTAAAAGTAAAGTTAATTTAATTTTTTTTTGAAAGTTAGCACGATTGCAACTCAAAAAATCAAAATCGCAACAGTTTTCTCATCAAAATTTGCCGTTTAGCCGTCTTTTGAGATGGTTAGTAATATTATTTTTCCCATAAAGTTTTTTTTTTATAACATGTAATGAATCATATTTCATGTCAATATTTTCAGTATTCTCTGTGCTACAAACAAGAAAACGGTAAATAGTTTTTTCAAATAAAAACTTTTTTTACTGTTTGTTAGAGTTGTTTGTTTTTCCTTTATTTTCCTTATTTATTTCTAAATTCAGCTCATGATGACAGCATTTGGAGTTGTACTTGGACTGCAAAAAATGATCAGCAATACATTGTCACTGGATCAATTAGTGATCATGTCAAAATATGGCAGTGGTATGTGTATGTTATGTTTGTTTTGTGACTGTGTTTGCATGCATGTATTGTTATGTTGTGGTGCATGTCATTTAATTAACATATACTATTACTTTTAATTTAACTATTTCCCCCAGGAAAGATAATCAGTTAGAGGTAAAACACAGTCTGGAAGGCCACCAATTAGGAGTTGTATCAGTTGATGCCGACAGTTCAGGTGAGTTGGCCGCCTCAAGTAGCCTCAACAGTAATATTAGGATTTGGGAGATTGAATCAGGAAAATCTCTACAGTCTATTGATGCTGGACCAGGTCGGTTGGAGTCTGAAGTTTTTTTGTTGCTTTGCTATTAATAATTAATGATTTAGGAATATTAATTATTTCATGAATATTAATCAATCAACCAAGTTGATGCGTGGACGATTAAATTCTCTCCTGATGGAAAGCACATAGCCACTGGCACACACACAGGAAAGATAAATTTGTATGCAGTTGAATCTGGCCAAAAGGAGTCCCAGCTTGATACAAAAGGAAAATTTATGCTTAGTGTTGCTTATGTATGTTGTCGTTGAGGTTTTTATTATTGGTGATGTTGTTTATTTTTGGTTTATTTTTTAATTTATTCAATATTTACTTAAATTTTTTAGAGTCCAAATGGTCAGTATATAGCGTGTGGAGCAATTGATGGATTCATATATGTCCTTGATGTTCAAACTTCAAGATTGTTACATGCCTTGGAAGGTATGTGTGAGAGTATGTTTGTGTGTGTGTCTGTGTGTGTTTGTGTGTGTTTACAGCTGGCTATGATGTTCAGACAGTCTGATTGATATTGTTTGAATTATTGTGTATTTATTTGTTTGTGGATGTATGTATGTACTATGTGTGTGAGTGGCCTGCTTGCAAATTATCACTATCATCATCATCACGGTCACTATCATCACTATCATTATCATCACGGTCACTATCATCATTATCACTATCATCATCATCATTATCACTATCATCATCATTTCTGTCGTAGGCCACGCTATGCCTGTTCGAGATCTGACATTTTCTAAGGACTCCACACATCTAATCACGGCCTCCGATGATAACTACATCAAAGTTTATGACGTGTCAGTTACTGTCACAGTTGTTTTAGAGTACTTTTTCATAATTTTTGATAATGAAGTAAAATAATTTTTATAATTTTTTTCAAAAATTAATAAACTTTTTCATAATTTTTGATAAAAAAGTAAAATAATTATTATAATTATAATGGTGATGATGAAAATGATGTTAAAACCAAAAATATAGACACCAAGCCACAGCCATTTGTTCGTTGTCAGGACATGGTTCTTGGGTATTAGGAGTTGATTTTTCCCCGGATAATAATCATTTTGCATCTAGGTTCACTTTTATTTATTTTCTTTTTGACCTTTTAAACTGTCTACTTTTTTAATTTTTTTTTTTTTTGATTTAATTGCTCATGCCGACTACAGCTCATCAGATAGGACAGTTAAAATATGGGACTTGAAGAATAGAGTTTGTGAGCATACATTTACAGACCACACTGACCAGGTTATAAATCATTGAACCTATGATTGAAAAATTTGTTATCATTCATTACTATTTATATTATAATTCTTCTCTTTATCTATTTATCTCTCTCTCTCTGTAACTTACCAGGTGTGGAGTGTTCATTACAACCAGAAAGGTGACCAGCTTGTTTCAGTTTCAGAAGATAAATCAATTCTCATATACGACTGCCCCATCTAACTTCGAGAGAGGCAAACCTACGCACTCACACACACACACAGACACATACGCACGCACACACAAAATATATCTGTACTGTTATACACATCTACATTTTATGACTATAACCTACAAGTTATGACTATAAAAGGTAATATTGATATACAACAGAAATATGATTAGAATGATGTTTATTAGAAAATCTAACACAATGAACATATCTTGAATTTTGAAATTATTTGGAGATAGTGTAGAAAAATTAATACGTGAGAATTGAAAAAGAACTATAGTGCTTCAGCTATTTTAATTCAGGCTGAAAGTATTACAGTGTTAATGGTCATAGTAATTTTATTTTAAAAGATATAATTATTTCAAATTATATTAGTTGTGAGTATAATATGTTTAATATTGCGCTGCTAATAAATATAATATCATATGATTAATAATTTTTACCTGAATTCACTTTTAAAAACGTTCGCCATTAATAAACGATGCCAGTTTCCTATACATTTCGCATTAAATTCCTTGCCTAATTACTATTTTACTTCCTAATAAGATAAATAGTGACTAAATATATATATACATATGTATATATATATATATAATTATGTATTTATATAAGATTTATATATTCCTTAAATGCATACAATACTATACTTCATACTAGATGAATTGAGATTGGCGAAGTATAACACACAACCAGTATGGTAGATACATTCATTTTAGCATAATATTTTACTTGCATAAATCGCATATAATTCACATAAGCGTGCTTGTATATGATGTTGAATAGATATAATTACTATAGAACTGTATGTATATTATAACATCATATAAAAAAAAATCAATTTTTACATATTAGTCTGTACATTATAATGTATGTAAATGCGGATGTATGTTAATTATATTGATAGTTTTAAAGAAATATGTATGCACATTGTATGTATGGTGTATGTTGGCTGTATGCGATGTGTGTGTAATTCTGTATGTGAACTATGTATGCACTGATGATGTTTTTGTATGTGTGTTTGTTAGTAGATAAATAAATATGAAATGGTATTTAATAAGTTTTGATACAAAATTTGTTTTTAATTTATTTTATATGAAGTTTAAAGTTAAACATTAAAGATAAATATTAATCTTATTTAGTGCTAAAACTGACTGGATCTTGTTTGATCTTTTTGATATTTTATATTTCAAAACATTTTTCAAATTATTTGTAATACAAAGAAAAGAAGGGAAAGACAATTTGTTAATAATCAAAATTTAAATGGAAAAGTTTGTTTGTTTGATTGATCCTTGATTCTTTTTTTGAACCAACAGCCAATTTGATCATTGAATGATTCTTTCTTTGATTTAACCACCAACCAATCAAGTCTAAGTTTAAGTCACATTAAGAAGATTAACAATTAATATTAAAATTAAATAGATTCGATTTTGATTTGACCAACATTTTCTTGCTTATTCAATAATTTATTAATGAAATTTTTCTCTTTGAATTTTGATAATATTATTTCATTTTATCGAAACTTTGATTAAAATGAAATTTGTAGACAGTATTATAATTATAATAATTAATTAAGTATATAGCACTATATGTAATTTTTGTACTGTAACTGTCACTTCTTCATAGAAAAAATCTAGGATCTAGGTAAAACCTCCCTAGACCACCTAGTTGCAATAATGGGGAAAAGAAAGGGATTGAGAGGATTCTTTGAATTTGTGAACAAATTTTTCTCTAAGAAAAAGAAGTATAATGATTTATTATTTATTCATATAATATTTTAATGATCATTATATCATATTATTTTTATTACTATTATTATTCTTATTGTCAATGATGATATTATTTTTTTTATTATTAATTATAGAACTGGGGCAAGCAATGAAAATTTGGCAGATAGACATGATGATGACGAAACTGCTAGCCCATCAAAGGTGTTATTATCTGTTTTGCTTAATATGTACAGGAATGCAATTGTTGATGAAAATCGCAGCATGTTCCGTGTTAGTTAGCTTCTTGTTTAAGTGTTTAGCCACTAGTAAGGCAGGATCGAAAATTTAAACAGCAAGCTTATGCGGAACATGCCTTGATTTTCACCAATAATTACATATATATATATATATATATATATATATGCGCTAAAAAATGTACTATATTTGTAATATAATATATTCATTAAACATATTTTTAAATTCAAATTTCAGAATAAAGAGAAGAAGAAAGGTTTTTATTTTTATGTTATTTGCATACAAGATAGCCTAACATTTTTATTCTTAACAACAAAAATTTCCTTTGATTTATTAAAAAATTTAATGAAAATCATAAACAATTCATGATCAGAATAAAAGTAGTTAGATTTTAGAATTAATAAACTTTTTTGTAAAATGAGTTGAGAAAAAAATGCATGAAATTTTTTTTACTAACTCAGTAACTCCAGAGGTAAACCTTGACGACATAGCCCCAACATGCACGCTCGAATCCATAAACGTTCTGAAGAGTAGAATCAACATTAGGCCTAAAAAAGGTAATACTAATAAGCGCACCTCTGCTCTGACTATCTCCCCAGATGTCGATCGAATGAAAGAAAATGACCTCAACGTCAGTCTGGATAGTCTCAGCGAAGAGGAATTAGTGGAAGACAAGAAGGAAGGAAAAGAAGTGAAATTTTGATATTATTATGAACTATATAAAATATACTATTATTTTTTATAAAAATTTTAAAAGGTTTTATGAAAAAAATCATAATTATTAATACAATTATTATAAAAATTTTGAATAATATAATTTTTTTTCAACAGACAATTAAGTCGCCACCACCAAAAGCAGCCATCCTACCGCCATTAAAAATGAACTCTGACAACAATAAAGCTGTCAACAATGAGAAAAATGAGAAAAATGGTGATGTTTCCATCAAAAGTGATGAGAAATCTAACCAAAGTGATGAGAAATCTAACAGAAATGTTAACAATTCTGACAAAAAAGTTGACCAAATAGACAACGAAACAACTAAAATCACCACATTACCCAAACCAGCCCAGAATTCCAACACTGATACAAAAACGGCCACAACTTCTATTGAAAACAACAGAACCTCTGCTACTGCTACTACCAATGACAATGGTGATGGTGACGCTGAAGCTTCAACTAAAGGCGAAAGAACGAAGAATGATGATAAAAATGATAAAACTAAAGCAGAAAGAGGTGCTAATGGTGGTAAAAAAGTCGACCATAATGATAAAGCTGATGAAAAATTGTCTGGCAAACCCGGCAACGTTGCTAATAATGATGATTTTGTCATCATTTCAGAAAATGATCTGAAAAATGACGACGCTATTGCTGATGATGATAAATCAAAAGATGATGATGATGAAGAGAATTTGGATGATGATGATAATGACGTAATTCAAGTGAACAGAGCTATCAAGACCATTCTCTACGAAATGCCAGCGGAAAAATTTAGTGATAGTGATGCCACAAACTCAGAAGTGGACAGGCCAATGAAGGAAGAAAGAGCAGAGAGAAGTGAAACGAGGAGTCCTGCAACAAAGACATCAACCCCATCGTCTCCTCCAAACGAAAACAAACAACCGGCAACATCGACATCATCCGCCAAAACTAAATTGACAGCGACGTTCTCAACTACGTCATCTTCAGAAGATGTTTTCAAAACTGAAACTCACACAGAACACGATGACAAAGCTAACAAGGACGAAGATGATGATTATCAACTACTTAACAAGCCTGGTGCATCCCTATCTTCCGGATCAATCAACAAAATCCCCAGACCAATGCCTAGAACAATGATGAAACAGTCGAACAATCACAAGCTTAGAGCTGATGAACTCAATACAAACGAGAATAATGACGAGGATGAAGAAGATGGTGAAAAAAGTAACAAGATTAACTCAACAACTTCAAATGATTACCAGAAATTGAATAAAAACTCTGAAAGCGCATCTCTTGGGTCCCTCTCATCCTCATCCTTATCTCCTCAGTCCGAATTTTCTCTAGGAAAATTTTCCCCAGATGTAAAATTTAATGAGAAAAACAAAGAAAACAAACCTACAACAACATCAAAAACAACAAAATCTCCTACAACATCGACCACAACCCCAATGACGAAACCGAAAAGCAAACTATCAACCAGCAGTCTCAGCAGCAACGGCAGCAGCGTTAACAGCAGCAACAGTGGTGTCCACAAGGATGACAGCAGGAGCAACAGCGATAGCAACAACAACAAAGAAACAGACTTTGGTTCTTCATCTTCCATTGGAAAGTTACGAAAAAATCTTTGCATAAAATCTAACTCTAGCTCTTCTTCACCCGCCACTTCAAAAACATCTGCACCACTTACAGCCACCTCTCCCAACGTTTCCTCAACTACGTCACTTGATATTTCACTGACGTCACCATCGTCGTCATCATTAGAATTAGGTTCTGGCAAGAAATTACTACCTGATGCAATGCCCAGAGCATCGTCATCGTCGTTATCTTCATCATCGCCATCGTCATCAACTGCCACAACTACTGCTGCTACTACAAAATCGTCATCATTTTCTGTTAATGCTTCTACTAAAACCTTTGTTGAGAAAGATAATGATGCTGCTATTATAAATGATAGCAAGAAAGTCTTTGTTAAGAATGACAATGATCCTAAGTATACTTATACTGCTACTACTACTACTGCTGCTACTACAACTGCTACTACTACTTCTACTGCTACTACTACTTCTACTTCTAAAATTACTACTGCTGCTGCAACAAAAGATGCAGTCAACAATGAGGACGCCGATGCTGATGTAACTCCGACTGCGGGCGATAATGAGGTCCAGTTAAAACCATTGTCGATAATAACTCAAAATGGCGATCACAAACCTGGTGACGTCACTGCCGCCAACGTCATCAACCATCCTCGTCACGAGGAACAAACCAAACTGTTTGCTAAATCGACATCCAACGGTGAAACTGAAGATAAAACGAAAACGAAACCAGTAGAAAAATCACAACCAGTTGGAAAATTCATGTTGAAACCGGCCGATGGCGCATCGCTATTGTTTAAAAATAACGACGCAACTGAAACTATTGCTAAAATTAACGCAGAGAACGTGGAAAAACCGACGGAGAAGAGAGTTATAAATAGCGAGAACATGGTGGCAAAAAAATTAGCACCTCCCCCAACCCGCAAACCTATGAAACAGGATCCAAACATCAAAAATCAGGAAAATAATCTCAACAACAACACGGAAACTGAAAGTTCTGGTAAACCCGAAATACCTATTTTAAAACAAATCAGCGAACCAGACACAAAAACCGCCGAAGTTTTTAAAAGAAAACCTCTAGCTAGTGAAACTGAAACAAAACCTATGAAAGCCCCACCGACCCTGGCAAAACCAAAACCAAAAAAATAAATGAAAAAACCATGTGATTATAGCATTAATTGAAACGGCAATTGTAACTAAATATTAATTGTAAAATAATTAACTACACACTACACATAAACTCGTAACAAAATGCCATTATAAACATAGAAAAGCTTGACATTTACTTATATGTAGTGCCTTAAATTACAAGCAAGCTTGAAATATATTTTTATACCATACATTGTAAAATATACAACACACAAACAAACACACACACACACACACACACACACATACGACATCTTTATAAGAGAATCTGTTTTTATTGCTACGTTATAGTTTACAGTACGACTTATTCTTCACTTTTACCAAGTTTTTGATTCTTTAGTACCTTATTGTCGTTAAGATGTTATTATTTATATTATATATATATATATATATATATATATAATATATAGATCTATAATTTATTTTTGCCTTACGCGTGTTCATGCATTTATTTTTCTATACAATGTTTTCCTGCTCTAACGCTAAATTTCTGTGTAAATTTACTTCAAGTTACATATATTTATTATGTAAATTATATATATATATATATATATAATTAAAATGTATATTTATATATATAAAGCTATGACCATTATAAAGACATTCTACTTAATTTAATGTAGCGGTTATGTTATGTTCATAATCATGACAACACTCACAAACACACACAGAGTTCCATGATAGTAGTTTGTATGGTTTCACCATCATGATTTTTACCTTATTTCATCCCATCGGTACAAACGTTCGTTACTCGTTAAATTTTATTCTAAATTTTAGGTCATATATTTATTAATTAATTATTACATTTAATTATTTATATTAATTTTTAATGAATTTATTTATTTTTAATTTATTTAGCTAACTAAATCAAACGCTGTTTTCACAAATCAAATCTATTTTTATAGCCTGCTATTATATTAAGATCTTACAATGAAATGATGTTTTCAGGATTTATGTATGTATGTATGCATGTGTACGTACGTATGTATGTATGTGTATGTATGTATGAATATACTTTTCATACCAGATATATATATATATATATATATATATATATATATATATATATATATATATAAACATTATATTTTGTATGTACTTACAATTATATACGCTTTTACGTTTTATTTAGTTTATTCCTTAATATATGAATGTAAGATGTACTGTACATACTACATATACATACTTCACACATACACACGTTCACTTACACACATACTTTATCAGTTCTACCCAGTACTCATATATACTCAGGCGCATACATACATACATACACAAACACACATACGAACATAAATACACACACACACATACGTACACGCATGCATACATACACAAACATTATCCGTTTATCATTACAGAAGTCTTCTGTATTACGGATGGAGAGTTAAAATGAAAGTTGACGTACATGAAAGTTGAGCCCAGAACTTCAATATGGCATGCTAATCAAAACGGGTTTATACATACATGCTTGCTTATAAAAACATTTAAACACACATGTACGTATATACATTATATATATAATATATATATATATATAATTATTTATATATCGTGAGAGAGAGACAGAGTAAGTAGAAAAAGAAAGAGAGACATAGCCATATTTTTTACAATGCTGTACTTCACAGAATTTCTACATTACATTTATATTTATAGTAATAATAATAAAATTATTATTATTATAATTTATGTAGTTATAATTAAAACCATAAAAATGGTGGCAGCAATGGTAATAGTAGCGACAATAGTTAGAAAATAATTACCAGTGATGGCTGAGAATAATAAAAGCACCATTGCCGGTTGTGTGAATGTCGCTGGAGTAATTAACCAAGACAAGCCTCGTCTATAATTAGAGATAATTAATTAATTAATAATAACAACTAATTATTAATTATATTATTAATACCAATAATAATAGTGGTGACTGTGATAGTTACAAGATAAAGAAATTACTAAAAAAATAATTACAATAATAATAATAATATTAGTCATAATATTAATTGCAATGCTAATAATAATCAATAGTAATAACAAATTTAAAAAAATTTTCCTCTGAGCCTCGTAAAAATTTACTATTTAAGTACATATGCGGCCCTTTAAACGTAGAATAGTTCTCAGTTTTCCCACCCCTGTTCTACGAAATTCACATTGAGAATAATAATTACAGACAAAGTAATCAGCTGAACATTAATAATAATGACGGTGATTGCGTAACAATAATTATTAATATTATTAATTAAATGTAATAATAACTATTAAGAGTTCTCTATTTGGAATAAGGGCAATTACTACAGACAACTTAGGTTTCAAACTAAGTTGTAATTATTATGATTATTATTATTTTAAACAATTATCATCGGGATGTATATTTACCATCATCATCAGCAGCATCATCATCAGCAGCAGACATCACCACCATCATCATTACTAGCACAACTTTTGCTATCGACAACAGTAATAAGAACAGCCCCAGAAGATTTCTGACCAATCAGATCGTTCCTCACGTCGTCGTAGGCTGGTTCCAGCCCCGCAAACTCCTCCCCTTTTCTCCCCATCTTTTCTTTCATCATCATTAGTAGAGGTAGTGGCAGTGAGGGCAGCGATGACGTAGAATCGGTCGGTTTGGCTGCGGTTGCTACAGCCGATACTGTTGTTGTGTTATTGCTTGTGACGTCACTGCTTTCGTCATCATTACCTTCATCATCGTCGGCAATCATTTTCATTTCTTTCATCATGGCCAACATCCTCGATGATGATATTCGACTGCGACTCATCCTCCTCTTCATCATCTTCATCATCGCGAACTTTGTGGCGCAAACGGAAACCGATACGTTGCTTATATCGAATACTCCAGGACGTAATATCCGAGCTCTGTACGTCACTGATTTTGTTTGGTTGGGGGCCAGTCGAATTAGGGTTTTAGTTTTACCGACCCATAAAAAACTTTTCCTCGGAGTTGAGACCTGTATGGCTGAAGTTGCGGGCGGTGGAGGTTGCTGATTGGCCGATAGAATCGTTGACGTCGTCGTTATCGAGAGTTTGTCAGTAGATTGCTGCTGCTGCTGCTGTTGGGATGAGGCCATGTTAGATGGGGAGGTGGCTGCCGATGTGACGGAATCTGCCGAACTCGTGCAGGGCGGCGTTCTACGGCTGCTCGTAAGTTCTCTCCTTCGTTTGTTCGGCAAATCAACTTTATTACATTTTTATCAAATAGCATCACATCTATTTACAACAAACAAATAACACGAATCACATGAACAAAAATGACGTCATTAACGTGGCATCACGTGACAAGGGAAGGACGTACTTTTCAACGGGTTGTCCCAAATCGAGGATGGCTATAAGATCTTCATTGCAACAATTGAGCAGGTTTATTTGAATGACTACTGTACAGGACCTTGTTCAAATTTGCATTGATTTATTCATCCTTTCTTTCAATCATACATTCATTCATTCATTCGCTCACTCACTCACGACTAACTTTTCTTTGGTGAAATCGTGCCTAACGAGCGATTTAAAATTGAAAAATATCGTGACAAGTTGCATCATCAGAAAACGCTCTTTTTCAGATAATTGCCTAAAAGTTTTGGCATATTTAGATTTTTTTTTGCCGGAAGTTATCGTCGTCGACATGGCGTTGATTGGCTGTTTCGCAGTGGCGTCAGAAAATTTTAGTTGCATCACTTCTTTCTGAGGCTTTGTGTGATGTTGATGTTCGTTTATGTTGATGGTATTAATTATTATTATCAACATCATCGTCATCAATCGTCATCATCATCAGCACCTTTTGAACGGGAGGACAAATGATTGGAAGGTCAGGCCTCGAAAACTTCAACAACATGAAACCGTATTTGTTGCGCTTGTAGGTGTGACTTTTTATCAGGGAAGACTGTGATCGATTGAATTAATTTTGTCGTCAATTGTGATTGGTTGAATCATTCAGTGATCTATTGTGATTGGTTGAATCATTCAGTGATCTATTGTGATTGGCTAAATTATTTACTAGTTGGTTGCAATAAAATTAAATAACAAACTTAGAAACGAAAATACAATCAATTGAGGCAGTCAATAAGAGCTCACCTCTTTAAAAACGTCAACCAATCACAACTCACTTCAAACCCCAATTCAAAATCAACTACCAATCAGAAATCACCACTTCAAAAACACCAACCCATCATAACTTACCTTCCAAACGACAACCAATAAAAATCTATTTTCGATGGCTTTCAGGAGATAATTGGTCTGTTTCAAATTCCTATCATCGTCATCATCATCCATATTGTCATCATTAACATTAGACTCTTCGAGAAGTTTTAGTAACATTTCATCATTATTATCATCATCGTCATCATCAATGTAAAGATCATTATCATTACTACCACCATCACCGTCGTTATCATTATCATCATCATCGTTGTGAGTGATGATGATACTGTTGAATTGACGTCCTGATGATGTATTTTTTAGTAAGGTGTCTATGCTGTCTAGACTGTAGAGGTCTTCATGTTCTTTGTTGGAAAACTGTTGTTTATGATGATGATGATGATGATGGGGCTGATGATGATGATGTCATATAAGATGACGATGATGATAGTGATGATAGTAGTGAGGATGATGATAACGATTATGTATGCTAAGAATTGAATAAAGTCGGCAATGACAAAATCCAAAGCAACAACAACAACAAGACTTACATTGCATACGTCAGTAAATGTTGTATTTCGTTGAAGTTGTTGTTGCTGCTGATGTTGTTGTTCGCGTGACCAACGGGCTCTTAAATTCAACAGATACGACTCTCCAGGTTTAATAAACGTCTCTAATGGTGAAGATAACGATGATGATGAAGACGACGATGATGAAGATGGCGATGATTAAGATGATAAAAATAAGACGATATTCATAACCATAGATAACAAGTGCGACGAACAATCACTACATTCATCGTTATTATTATAACCACCATCATCACCACCATCATCATTACATTACCTCCCGAAATACTTCTTCTCTCTCTCTCTCTATCTTTGTCAGTAGAAAAGACATTGAGTTTCATCATTTTCAGAAGTTTCCAGGATTTACTAATGCACATCACCTTCACTATCGTCATGTCGTAGTCCTGTGTGTATGCGTTTGTACGCACGTATGTATGTACGTCTGCTTTGCTCGTTCGTTAGTATGTATGTGTGTGTGTGTGTTGTGTGTGTGTGAATATCATGTTTGCATGTATGTAAAACTCTATACAAAAAAAAAACAAACATACCAAATTAATATTGTCGACACTCAGTGAGATATCCACGTTGCTTTTAATATAATTACCATCCCTATTATTACTATTTTCATTATTATTATTATTACTACTTTTATTACTATTTTCATTATTATTATTATTACTACTATTACTAACATCACGCAACTCATCGTCATCATCGTCCTTATCGGTAGTATTAGTAGTAGCGACATTACCACTGCTGCTACTACTACTTCTACTACTGCTATCAGCCAATCGTTTTGGTGCATTAACTAAAGCGGCATTACGAGCCCCAACAGGGTTATTTTTACCCCAGCCGGAAATTAAGTCACCGTTGGCAGCTGTGGAAGCTGTTTTAACAGCTGCAGTAGCTGTGTTAGCAGCTGTGTTACCCCTTTTAGCAGCGGCAACTGCTGCGTCGCCTGCGTCTTCGGCGTAGTTCAGCAGGTGGTAGGATTTGTATGTAGTGGCGTAGATACTAATTGATGGTTGAACTGTTATGGTCGATGAATGCCGGATGAGTCGATATCTGTTTTGAGGGGTGTTCAACATTTGAAAATATAATTTGCGATGTGTGCGTACGATGAAGTCAAAACGAAAGAAACTCCTAGAAAAAAAAGACTTTACAACAATTTACACAAACAACCAACATTAACAACAGTTTCAATGATAGTTAAAACAAACAACAAACCTCAGCTTCCTAGAGTTATTTTTCTTACTTTGGTAACTAGCGCTACTAACTTTTGCACTGACACCAGCGTTAACAACTGCGTCATTATTATTGCTAGACTTGTTATCGTCATCACCATTTCTATTCATGGTATTTGCGTTCAGCGTCGTTACGGTGGGAAACGACACGTCGGTAACTTGGCGACAATCGGTCGGCGAACCGTTACCAACACCGATAATATTCGACGACGACGACAAAGAAGTCACGGTACTTTCTGGCGCACAGCTACTTCTATTTTCAAGCGCGTCGCTACTACTTTTACTATCGACAACACTCCGCAAAGTTGGAATGCTACTATTATCCGCTTCGTAACCGCTACCGACAACATTCGCTTTCGATTCAACAACACCGCGGACAGGCGACATTTTTCGGTATTTTTTCGCTCTCTTTTTGCCAAGTAAATTAGTGTCATCAAGGCCAACATCGTTGAGGTTTCTAGCGTAGTACACCAACAATTTAATAGGGTGGACCCCGACTTTCAGAGGGCACTGAATCCTCAAGGTGAAAGTCATCGTTTCACCCGGTTTGAGTCCGGATTTCGAATTAGGCAGTGGTACCCTTATTAAATCTGTGTTCTGTTGGTAATTATATTAAAAAAAGTCACCACAAACATAATTAACATTACCATAATTAACATAATTAATTAACATTACATCACGAACACCATTACCACGAATATCGTAATTATAAACAATCACAACAACCTTGCTATCACCAGCACTATCATTGGATTTCGAGATCCTACAAGCTCCTCCCATAAGCGAAAAAAACTGCATGTTATTGGACGTGATGAAAATTTGATTGACATTTCTCAGGCCACAGTTAACGAATGTAAAGGTACATTTTGACACCTCACCACATAGCATGGTTGACGGAAAGTTATGCATGTACATCTGATGATTATTATGGTGATGAAGGTTATGGTAACGATTATGATAGTAGTGATAATGATGATGATAATAATACTAATGATGATGATGATAATAGTACTAATGATGATGATGATGTAATGATAGCATGGATGGTGTGTGAAAATTGAAATACGTAATAATATCTGCAAGTTAAATAGCCCTGTGGATAAGTAGCTACGCATAAACGACTCCAAATAATTACATTATCGCAATAATTATTAGTAATATAATCAAATTATTATATTATATATCATATTTATAAACCTCCATTTTTATGTCAGAAGGTACGAAGCTGAAATACAGCCTCCTATCTATCGCGTATTTCACATTCATTTTATCTTCTTTGGTTTTATTCAATCTTTTTCCATTTACTGATAACTCGACACAGCCTGGGACAGTTAACTGTTGTTGCTGCTGCTGTTGTTGTTGTTGCTGCTGATGTAGCTGCTGCTGTTGCTGTTGCTGATGTTGTTGATGTTTTTGTTGATGTGTATCATCTGATTCAGAGGATGGTAGTTCTTGTGAATGTTGCAGCTTTCGTTGATATTCCTCTTTTTGTTGCAGCAGTAATTTTTTTCGTCTGTTGTTAAGTAATCTTTGTTTCTCGTCCAGAGTTTCCTGCCTCTCAGACAGGTCGCTCTGTTTCTTAATAATCGCCTGCTCTCTTTGGAATATTACCTTCGTCGGTAGTCTGTACCTCGAATCTTCCAGATCAATTCTCATCTGCTGAAGTTCGCTGACGTCATTTTGTAGTAATTTGAATTCAACATCTAACTGCTGTTCGTCGTTTGTCAGAGTTATCTGTTGGCGAGTTAGCAAGGTAGCTGTATCGTTTGAAAAATCGTGAGCTCGCGAATCCAAGTCAGTCAATTGTGGCGTGTTGTTGGCATTTTCTACTACTATTAGTTTGTTGGCATGTTGCTGTAGCATTGAGAGGTTGTTTGGTTGTTGTGTCATTTCTACACTGTCCTTGTTTGCCGTTCGTGGTTGAGCAGCTGAATTGTTACTAGCAGAGATGTTGTTGCTACCATTGTTGTCGTTGTTGTTGTTGCCACTTCTGCTGTTTAAGATGAACAGGAGATTTGAACTATCAGCACTTTTGTAACCTCTCTGTCTCATGAGCTCTCTTTTGCTTAAATCACTTTCCTCATCATCACTTTCCTCATCTTCTTTACTCTCTCCATCATCAGCGTCATCTTCCTCGCTGTCATCTTCATCGCCATCTTCAGGCTGCTTATTACGAACTAGAGCCGGTATAAACTCGATGTCCACATGGTCCGAGAACTTGACGGTTTTTCCACTTTGACCAACCCTACCATCGACAAAACGCTTGGTACCGACCGATCTGGAATCGAATATCATACCTCGGTCAAGCAGTTTCGACGTAAGAAGTATACCGGCTTCGACAGCATTTTTACGACTATCGATTAACAGCCCACTGTCGTCTTCGTCGTCATCAACCTCCTCTTCCTCCTCTACAATATCATCATTTTCGCTACTGCCATCTGTGGCATTACTACCAGTGTGACTACTTTTACTAGTGGAACTTTTTACATTACTGACGCTACTGCTAGTAGAAGTATCGTTCGTAACATTACTTGCCGATTTTGTAACGATCGCGTCAGTCTTCAGCGCTACCGAGTCCGACGAATCGGCGAGTCGGTTCTTCAGAGCACTAAACGCCACTGCACTAGCGTCTGCAGCAGCAGTGGTGGCAGCAACATCGTTGAGAGTGGCAGTAGAAGTGTTACCATCACGGACAACCGTTTTAACTCCTCTGCTGACAGTCACATCATCAATGTTGCAGCCGACCTGCAGTGTTAAGTTATCGCTGAGTGTACTCTTTGAAAACTGCCATGACGATGTGGGTGCGATGTGTGGTTGTATCTGTTGAGAGACCGATGATGATGACGTTGTCTCCATCTGCGGAGTGGCGAGTGAGGGAGATAGTGAGGGGGGTGGAGGGGCGATTTGAAATGCAAGGTTCGTAATTTTTATGCTGCTGGCGACTGAAGAATTCAACGTCAGTCGCACGTTCTTCCACTGCAGGCCGTCAATGATGACCTCGTCAACAACTTGACACAGAATCATGTTCGCCTTTACATAATCATCATCATCATCAGCAGCAGCGGCATCACCATCATCCCCACCATCTAGAACCTTCCAGAGCAGATGAACATTCTTCAAGCACAGTGGTATCTTCAAAGGATTGTTCAACTTGATCTCCAGTGTGACTGGCTCTCCAACGACAGCAACGACATTTTCAGTATTGTTTGTGAATTGATTGTAGCAATAAACAGTTGTTTTCAAGCCACTATTACTACAACCACACCTCATTAACATATTACGCTCCAATTCCTCAAACTCTGATTCGTCAGTTTGAATAGTTTCCTCATCCAATGAGATTCCAGACGCCCGGACCCAGCCACCTCTCAGCACTGCACAATGTTGAGGGTAGCAAAGAATTCTAATTGATTTGCAGTCAACGATCGGCAGTGGCAGCATTTCTAAATGTTGTTGTTGAAGTTGCAGATGGTGACTCTGCTGTTTTCTGTCAGCTGTCATCGGTAGCATCAACATCTGTTGCTTAAAAATATTGAGATACTGAGCAAAGAAAGCAGCTTGTTGTGTGGCCGACTGCTTGCTGTGTGGAGTCAGCAGTCTCATGAAAGCTACTGTAGCTAAGCCGAGTTCCTTGACATTATAAGACTGTGTACCGATGGTTAGATGTATGTGATCCTCGGCCAGGAACCATTTCTTATCACTGAAGACTTGCAAGGCATTGAAGTAGCACCTCAATGCATGCTTCTTCTGGCCTGCCTTGTTGAACCTGTGCCCAGCAAGAACCATGTGAAAGGCATACTTCCGCTGCATAACAACGCTCTTCATCTTCAAGAAACACAGAGCTGTTTGTTCTAAGAACAATGAACTCAGCAGATCTGATTCTTCGGTAGTACCGGACATATATTGCACTGAAGCTTCTGTGTACTGGTTCTTACTCTTAAGTATCTCTGTACTTATGATGGTTGCCCTGGTTGTGTAGTTCAACAGTCTGGTGATGGTGCTGTAAGTTTTGATGGCCTGATCCATGTAGTGGCCGGGGTACTGCCTGCCCCCCTGATGGCCTCCCTGCAGATACACTGACAGACAGGCCATCTCCAGGGCCCCCGCGTAGTGCACCCAGGCACTGTCACTGTTGAAATCTTTCTTGATAGCGTGGAAGGTCTGGTAGGCCAGGTCGTAGAGGCGAAACAGCAGGGATATGTCGCCGATTCTTCGCATCTGCATTTCCGGAGAGTCAGACGAGTAAACGACAACCGAACTGTTAACGTTCTGTGTAACGGGCTTTGTTCGACCAAACCACTTGCTTGCATTGAATATGGACCCCTTTATACCTTTCCTCATTGAGACTTGATCACTCAAAGTTTTCAGAGTTTTTTCAACCCAAGGAAATAATGCACGTAGTATGAACTCATCCATGAAGACCTTCAATCTGTTCTGATCACTGGCCGTCATCAAACTGCCCATCAGTCTTTTGGAGGAAACGAATCTGTTGATTATGGAGGAAGAAGCAGTGGAAGGTGCAAGCAGTGATGCAGACGACGATGACGACGCGCATGATGATGCATCCAGGCAGTAGTTATCATCAGAGTCATTCTTTTTGTTGTTGTTATTAGCACTGATGTTATTATTTGAGAAATTGACAGAGGTGATGTGGAGGTACGAAATATCATCATAGGTGGTGATATTGTTAGGCAGGGATGTTGATGATAACGACGACAACGACGTTGAAGATGGTGATGTTGTTTGCTGCAGTGGGTGTTCCAGTTGGGTTGTCCTAATTTCTGGATTGTAGGCCGGCATCATCATTCCTAAGTCTTCTACTACTTCTTGCAAAAGTCTATCATTGAATGGCCTCTTTAGAGCATGCGCCAGCCATGGGTTATTAACTAGGTTAACATCATTATCTAACTCTACCAGCTGCTGATGTTGTTGTTGCTGTTGTTGATGTAACTGCTGTTGATGTCTGTGGTCCTTTGCAATTTTTCGAGAATTTATATGAAGCAGGTGACAGCAATGACTACCATATTTGTCCTTCACTAATTGGTAGACCTGTTCAGCCTTGCTATCTTCTTGTTCGGACACATCGTGAACAAGAACGTAATACCTGAGTATGTTGGGTATGAACCATTTAGCTTCGTGTAACAAAAGTGGCGTGGAAGAGGCGCCAGCACTATTGGCTGCGGTCACCCCAGATGACGTCATCAATAACGTTGTGGAAGTTGGTTGAGTTGTATACTGTTGATGTTGTTGCATTGATGGATGGTGTTGTTGTAGAGTTAAGATGAGTTTGTTTAGTTGTTCAAGTGGGTTAGGATCTGATGTTGAGACTGCAATGATACAAGATACATAATGCTTAATAAATTCATGGTCCAAAGTAGGCATGGTCTCGAGAAAATATTTCTTATAGTTTGCATACCATGGAGTGTAGTTACTGAATTCAATGGTGAAAGTGGTGTCGGTGGGTTTTTCCTCCCCATCTTTTCTATCTCTAGAGGAAGCTGTCTTCGACAGAGCATCATAGAACTGCACAACAGATGTATACTGTCTGGGTTTTTGAATTATTGACCTTTCCTTGTCAACTTCACTTTCCTGCTTCACAAACTGGTAACTATTGAAAACAAGATCATTCAGTTTCTTCTTTATTACCAGATTTGAGAGGGATGGTTTGTTAAGGTCTTGCAAGTTGATTTTGAAACTTGATGGAATGGAATGTATAATGTTTGAAACATCTTTTATCTGACCTGGTTTTGTGAAATTTAATTTTATTGAAATAACAAAATTACTATTTATTAATTTAATGAACAGGCAAGAAGTCAATAAAAAATAATTAGCCCACCCCCAGCCCAGCAAAACTTACCATCTTGTGATGTGAAAGCAAATGGCTGAACCAGCTCAACAAAGGAAAGGTTGTTTTTCTGGCACTGCCTCTCAACTTCCTCGCTGGCAATAACGGCCACTGCCGGACAGAAAGTTTCTAAAATAAAATCTGTGGGCGTTTCTTTAACATCGGCCTGCTGTTGAGACATTCTCAAAACTTCTCAATGTTTCTAAGTGCAGTTGCACTTTGTGGAAAACGGTGTTTAATTTTTGGTTAGATTAAAATCATATGAAACGAAAATTATATTAAATAATTTAAAATGTAATTTTAATTAAGATCGTTGACGGGAAAATATAGGAGAGAAGTTAGAAAGACATTTAATTAGAATTTTGAGACATATACAGAAACGTAAACAAACGTAAGTTGAGTGTAACGTAACAAAAATTATTTTTCCTTAAATTAATTTTTAAATACACTTAAAAATGGATTTATAAAACTACGCATTTAGAGAGCTTTGTCCGTGAAAAAAACTCACACGTGTACAATTGTGCATACACACGCGTGCACATTAACCGGGACCTCAAGAACAATTTCTCGATTCTTCGAACCCGTCTGCTCAATTTTTCTAAATAATTCCATCATTTGTAACTTTTTTTAAAGTTAACGAACGTTTGACACATCAAACGGCGTACGGATTGCGAATTCAGTGTAAAATATTGGAAAAATAAATCAAGATATGAATATATGAATGAATGTATGAATTAATAAATAAATGGATGAATGGAAAAAGTGTTACACCTCACAACACATCAGCCTAACTGTACAGAATATAATGTGTTTTTAATCAATCAATCAATCAATCAATTAGGTATGCAATCATATCAACCAATTAAATTACAATTAAAGTCTGTGGCAACTGAATAAATAAAAAAAATTATTTCATATAGAATAACACCAAAGACTGCAATTACGGCTGAATGTAATGTCGAATCTGAAAACTATTCGGACCACAGATATGATAATGGAACCACAATAATAATAATAATAATAATAATAAAAACAACAATAAAAGTAATAATAAAAAAACAATAATCATTAAACAATAAAAATAACAAAGCCAATAAAACGAAAAACCCAGAACATAACTGGTATTTTCAAAGACATGTACAACCAAACATTTATAAAGGGATAACATCTGTTATTTTTTAAACCACAAACATAAAAAAAAATTTTTTTCACAATTTTTTTTATTATTTATCAAACGTTCCTGAGCCATAGTCGATCATGTGTGGAAATTGAACTTTTTTACTGTCCAACTCTTCCTGGGCCCATGAAATTAGTTGCACAAGATTGGTCAGTTTCGGATGAGAGTCCTCACCACATTCGAATAATAATGCTGCATTTACTTCTGCTGCCACCTGTGTTGAATAAATTTAAATAAACCACAATATATTATTGATAAAGAATGATAATGTACAACTAGTTGTAGACATAAACACTAAATGAGAACATTAGCTGCCATTTGTATGCAAACACACAAGTTTATAAAATATGACAAATATCAGATAAAATATCAAATTATGAAAGGTATGTAGCTGCATACTTTTCTTCTCTGAGCTGTGTGTAGTAAATTGCCATAAGGTGATGTTTCGGGTTCTGTGAATGCCAGGAGAGCCAATGTAAACTCAATCTCCGTTAGATTTTCTGCATTTTCTTCACCTTTCTCGGCTAAATGATTTTGAGCATATTCGAGAGCCTGTTCAATCTTTTGCTCTCTTATCAATTCAATTGTTTGCTGTTGCTGAAATCAGAGAACAGAAAATCAAATTAAAAAAAAATCAGTAAAGGAAAACCATTTAAATTAATAATATAGAAAAAGATTACATAAAAAATTGTAAATGATTTAAAAGCGATCTTACATGTAGATGAAAGTTTAATTTTTTATTAGTTTCCAACAACTCAGGACATAGATGATTTATGAGGGCCATAGCCTCCAATACTTTTCCATTCATTATTGCATCTTTTATTTGGATTCTTTTGTCTAACTGGGCATGGTTTGTCAGCATTTCGACACCTGATTCTGAGTGGAACTTCTCTGCTGCCTCTTTGTAACCCTCTTAGTGCAAAAAAACACAAAAATTATCTTTTCTAAATTATTAAATATCTCCTGTAATTTTCAATTCAAAAATTGAAATTGCAAACCTGTGACGAGATAGTTCATGACTAATTTATTCATTTCTATTCTCTGGACACGTGACAGCTGCAGACCTTGCATCCAATCATCCTTTGAAATTTCTAATTGTTTCTCCAGGGAAGGGTTGGCAGTCTGTGCATATGAAAAATTATTAAATTCACAAATAGACAATCACTAATCATTCACTTTTGCCACTTTGCAATTAAAAATAAATATAAATCAACATAGAAACAAAACACTTTCATTTTCATTTTATATTGCCTGCCTGACTACTAGAACGAAAAAAGGGGATAACCAATTTGAAACTAAAACGCTAAAATTCGCTTACAAAACTGAAATATTTATCGAAAACACAAAACTCACCGATATAACCGGACTAACGGACATTGATTCCATGACCAAAATAAATCAAATATGAATTGTTCGAACTTTAATAAAAAAAATTTTGCAAATAAAAAATGACAAACAAACAAGCGGTGACTTAAGCTCGATGTTTGGGCAACTGCTCTTCAATTTCGCTTAAAAATTATAATGAAAACTTAATTTTTTTTAAAATTGTAAAAAAAAACAAATTTAACTATTCATTACAGTTTAAACTACAATCAATCTTTAAAATTCAAGAAATAAGTTATATAAAAAATTATTAGCTCGGTTACTACGGACTAATAATAGTAACAAATTTTCAACACTGATTGGCTAACAATTAAATAATGTTCTAAAAATAGAACTGGATGTAAACATTGCACAACAACATTGATTTATCGTTGCATTCAATATTTGGTTGGGAGGTTACCGAGTTTTATTTTGTTTCATTTATTTATTAAATTTCTCGAAATTATTCTCATGAAAATTATTATTTTATTTAAATATTAAATTAAATTAATTTAATTTTTAATTTCTATTGAGATTCATGTTATTTCCTGATGAAAATGGAGGATTTTTAACATTTTTGTCATTTTTTAAAATTACTAATTTTCAGCAGTGTGGCTGATTGTTGCAGGGGTTTAAATTTTACTTTCAAATTAAATGACTTGCTTTTTTAAAAACTAAATAATGATAATATCACTCATCATAATCGTCGTCATCATCTTCATCATCATCACATGATGATGATGTCATAATATATAATCATAATGTTGTATCAAAAAATAAAGTGAATATAATAAGATAAGACATACAGCCTACATACAATATAATATGATAGTACACTTGCACTGAAACACATATACACACATACATGTGCATATACACGCATACACACACATACACACGCATACACAAACATATTTTATACAAGTGCACACAGATCTGTTCATATTATTATTGCTATTGTAGTAATAATATTAATAAATTATTCAATGTTGGCTTTATTAAGTGTGTTCTTGGCAAGCTGTGTTTGATTTTTTATATTGTTGAATAATTAGTAGAAAGTGTTATATAGCAGAGCAAATACTTGAGACAATATTTTGATAGTAGTTACATCGTCGTCATCGTCATCTTCATTATTCATCTATCATGGTCTTAGAATCATAATAGTCAAAAACTCTTTATTTTCATTTCACAATCCAATCAACATCGTCATCATCGTCATCGTCGTCGTCATCATCATCATCGTCTTGGCTACCACTACTTGAAGGATGAATTTTATAAACTGCCTCACATGGCAAACATTATTTTCCTAGATTTAAGAGAAGAACATCAATACATTCAATACTCATACTTGCGTATATGTATGTATATATATATATATATATATATATATGGAGAGAGAAGGAGAGAAAGAGAGTGGGCGAAAGAAAGAGGGAGAGAAAGAAAGGGAGTTTGTATTTAGGACCTACATTTAACATTAATCTATTTAAAAGACCTTTTAATTTGTATGAAAAACTTTACTCTACCTTTAGTATGTGTACATGTGTATATATTTTATGAATGAATAAAAGAACGAATGGATAGATGGAATGAATGAATGAAATGGTGGATGAACAATAATGAAGTAACCTACATACGTGAAAATCTAAGAGTCAAGAGCTTACAATTATATATTAGATTAATATGTATGTAAGGTGCAAATGACATTGCATTTTGCTTTGACAGGTTAGATATATATCGGCTGGCTGGTGGTTTGGTTGGTTTATTAGTAGCTGGCTAATTGAAGTCATATTCAGTAATAAGAAGAAGGAGAATAGTAGCAATACTAAACTTGTCCATTCAGAACCAAACAATGGAGTATGAATTTGGTAAAACTGGAGCTGAGCAAGATATGCTGGATGAAATTTTCAACGAAATCAATATGTCCGCCGAGTTAACCTCCAAAGATCGTGAATCTGACAAAGATAACAACAATAATTATCATGATAATAATATAATTATGAATAATAATTATTGTTTCGTGCCTGTCGACAAAAACTTCTCTTCCTCCACGTTCGATTTTGAAGATCGGTGGCCTATTTAACATCACTCCTGATCTAGGTTCACTTTTCATTTATTTATTCTTTCACTCATTCATTCATTCGATAATTCAGTAATCTGTTCACTCATTAATTCACTCATTCATTCATTCGTTAACCAAAACTTAATTTTCTTCCCCTAACCAGGCTTTGAGGATTTGTTGTCTCCGAACATAGACAACTTATTCACTGGAGCCCACTTTTCAAATAATTATCATCAGCATCATCATCATTCTCTCCTTCCACATCATCATCATCAACGACAACATCAGCAGAGTGATATGAAACCTGAGAATGTTATTAACAGTGGTGTTGATGCTGTTATCACTCTGGCTGAGACTACCTGCTTGAATGCTGACGTCAAATACATCAACGAAAATGACGTCATCATCAACAACAACAACGACAACACGAATGACGTCATCCACAACAACAACAGCAATGACATCAACGCCAACAGTGATAATATTTGTTTTGTTATAACCGGTGATCACACTTATTCCATTAGTGACGTCATCCATATTGACATCAACAACAACACCGACAACAACAATCCAACTATGTACAACGACATTGAGACGCTGTATGGCATTAACTTTAATGGCAACAACAACAACAGCAACAACAGCGTTGTCGATTGGATGAATGACGGTAGCGTTAAATACATCAACAATATCAACATGTTTTATGAGGAGAGCTGCAACGACATCATCAACAACAACAGCAACAACACAGATGTTATCTACAGTAACATCATTTTCAATGAATACAGCAATAACATCAACCTCAACAACAACAACAATGACGTCATCAACAGCAACATCATCAACTGTGATATCAACAACAACGACAGCAACAACAACAGTAATCCATTTGTTAACATGACGTCATTCGAAGGCATCAACAACGTCAGCAAAATGGACACGACAACATCAACAACAACATCAATGGCTAATAATATATCATATTTATTCAACAACAACAGCAGCAGCATAGACAACAAACTTAACATCGAATTTATCGATCTTGAGTTTCTAGAATCTTTGATGAACAACAACCTAAACAACAACAACAACAACATTAACAACGACATCAACACCGACATCGGTGATGCCACCACCACTACCACCAACCACAACAACGTCAGTGACGCCACCACCACTACCACTAACGAAAGTGACGTCATTAACGACGACGATGACGAGGCGATAGAAGAATCAAGAATAAGATATTTGGAGCGGAGGAAGAAGAACAACATAGCCAGCAGGCGCAGTAGACAGATTAGGAAAAACAAATTCTTCCAGATGGAGCTGAAGGCTGCCAGTCTGGAAAGTGAGAACAACTCACTGAGGGTTAAAATTAATAAGCTGGAGGTCCTGACGAAGCAGATGAAGGAGATGCTGGTAGGAAAGCTGAAAAAGTGACAACGATGGTGGTGGCGATGATGATGATGATGGCGATGATGATGATGATGATGGCGATGATGATGATGATGATGATGGCGATGATGATGATACTACTACTTATAATAATAATAATTACCGTTATTACTGTTATTATTATTATTATCATCATCATCATCATCATCGTTATTCTCAACTTTCACAAGTTACGTTGATGCTTCTAATTTAACTCTAACTATCTTCGTTACATGAAGATGATGATGATGATGATGATGATGATGATGATGATGATGATGACGAGGATGATGATGACGTTATTTTAAATTAACTCTGTTTTTTGAAGAAAAAAAAAGTTCAATATTTTACAACACTATCACTACAACAACTATTACTAATAATAAGTTATCTATATTTTATCATTTTCAAGATTCTACAACATTACTGCTACTACTGCTGCTGCTGCTGCTGCTACTACTATTACTGCCACTACTTCTACATTGCAGCTACCACTTCTACTACTACTGCTGCAACCACTTATAGTACTACTACTACTATCACCTTTGTTTGATTTGACTGAAATAGATATGTTCTTATTTGTCGTAAGTAAAATATTGTTATAAATTAATATACAAAAATAATAATTAACGCTGCTCTGCCGTGTTGTAATAATACAAAACAAATATATGTCCGCCAAAAATAAAATATCGACTGATAAAAATATTCGCCGTACACAAGAATTTAGAAAGCATAAGATTAGAGGATCTCAGTCGATTCCGATTATCAGTTTTCTGAAGATAATAGTAGTTGTGCTTTCAAATAAGTAGTTGGCTCGTAACCAGCAAGACAACTTATGACTAGAAGAGCTAGTTTGAAAAGGATTCTTTCAATGTAGACCATCCCTGATTTAGGATGGTGTTGAATCGAATCTCGAACAACCAGTAGCAACGAGTGCTCAGAACAGACTGTAGATCATCACGAAAGTTTAAGTCGACACCCAACATAATCGTATTGCAGCAGTCAATCGTACAACAGATAAAACTACAAACCGGTTTTCTTGCTGACTCTACTCTCAAAAACGTCTGGTTGATCCTAATCTGCGTAGTTTGTGGAAACATAAGGCCAGCAGAGTTGACTAATATGTTTATATATATATATATATATATACATATATACATATATATATATATATATATGTGTGTAAAAGAATCATCATCAGCATCGCCATGTTTTTGTAGAATTACATTCATCACAGTTTTGTTAAGTGTCCAAGTGAAATACATTAAAAAAATGTTTATGATGTGTTTTTGTAGTTGGGTCACAATCATCATCGTCGTCGTCTTCGATATCGCAATGAAATTGAGTTAAAAAGCTTTTTAAATGTCAAGGTCGGACCTTCCTTCGAGATGTTGCTGGTTCACGGTCGTCATTTACTTGTGTGTGCATGTTTGTGCCCGTGTATGTGTTTGTGGATGCATATACAAACCTACATGCACACATACGTACACACCTTTGTATACACATGCAAACATTCGCGTACACTTACACAAACAAACAAACAATATTATCACCCCTAAAAATCAAACAGTACCCCAGAAAAAATATTTCATCCTCGTTTAAATATCTATGTAAACAATACAGGTGTTTCATACGTTAAAACTGAATTAATTAGATAATTATTTAACAATAAATATATATATATATGTGTATATAGGTATATATATATATATATATATATATATATATATATATACATTCATATCATTAGTATATATATATATATCATATATATCATTGTAACATACAATTTATATAATTATATGAAGTGATATAACAATCAGCGTGGGATATATTCATTTCTCTCTCTCTCTCTCTTTTTCTTTCTCTCTAATATGTATGTATGTATGTATGTATGTATAAAAGGTGTTCAGTTTTACACGGAGTTAGAAGATTAGTGGGGTTGTTGTGTTCAATTTAAAGTTAAAGTATACAAAAGGTTTGTATATATTGTATGTATGTACGTGTTTGTTTGGTTGTATGTTTGTTTGTTTATTTGTTTGTTTGTTTGTATTTTTGTTTGTATGTATAAAAATAAACGAAGCATCTTAAAACGTTTGGTATTGGCAAAATTCAGTTAGTAGTTGTTAGGTTGTTGTAATATGCCGTGATGCATATTATAAATAAAATTTATCCATAAATCATTTCTATGCTATGTACATGCTCGCATATATGCAGTTCACATAACATCAACAACGTCTACAAAGACTACATCAACAACAACTTCAACAACAACAGCATCAACAACTTCAACAACAACAGCATCAACAACAACAACATCAACAACAACAGAATCAACAACAACAGCATCAACAACCACAGCAGCATCAACAACAACAACATTAACGTCTATAATGTCTATAACAACAGTCAACTGCAATCAGATGTTGTATCACAGAACCAACAAACATCACAGGCGTCATCATCATTAGCATCCTTATCGCTAACAACAACAAAAACGTCATCATCGTCAACATCATCTTCATCATCATCAATATCAGCTGCAACAACAACAACATTATCTATGACAAAACAACAACAATAACAACAACAGCAACAAAAAACATCAACAACAACATCAATAACAACATCAACAACAACATCATTAAGAGCGGTAACAACAACAACTTAAGACGATGAGTAAAATGATGAAGTTATTTAGCGGCCGATGGATCAACAGCAACAACAACATCAACAACATCAACAACAACAACAACATCAACAACAACAGTATTTTGATCTGCAACATTCAATTTCTTGACGGAACGAACCAGGATTTTGTCATACCAGTTAGTAACAACAATATTAATAATAACAACAATAATAATAATTGTTATTATTATTATTATTCTTTTTCTTCTTCTTCTTCTTATTATTATTTTTATTCCAAGGATTATTTCCAGATTTCATTATTAATTCCTTGACTTTATTTCAGTCAGTCAGTCAGTCAGTCAGTGCAAAACGAATGCAATAAGCAAAACATTTCAAATTTTATTCTTCTTATTGTTGCTTGATGTTGATGTTGTTGTTGTTATTATTATTGTTATTATTAATGTTATTATTATTATTTATATTATTATTTTAATATTACATCATATTGTGTTAAAACTTGCCCTATAAATATTAACCACAATTCATTCTTTGTTCCTTGGTTTGTATAGTAGTCATTCGTTCGTTCGCTTGTTCATCCGTTTTTTCACTCATTCATTCTTTCCTTCGTTCATTCGTCCGTTCATTCATTCATTCGTTCGTTCCTTCATTTATTCATTCATTCATCTTTGCCAAAAAAAAATAACTGCGTAAATAAATCCTGATTAAATTGAAACTGGAAATGTTCGCCTCACTGCTGCTTGTTATAATTGGCATCAAGCGACGATGATGATGACGACGACGATGATGATGAAAAATAGTTCCATCATCATCATCATCGTCATCATCAACATCATCATCATCATATTCGGGGTTAAACGAACC